TAACTAACTTTCGTGCAAAATGTCGGTAAGGGGGTCACGGAAAACAACTGAACATGCATCCTCTTCTCTTTTTGTGGACTCAGAAATGGCAATGTTGTGCACAAATTTCCTTGTTTTCTGATGGCCAATCTTAAGCACAACCGTTTTGCCCCAAAAAACACATAATCGCGATGTTGCGCACCAGTGTAGCCTTTCGGACCTTACCGACATTTTGCACGAAAGGCTGTTCTGTGTTGCGCGTCCTTGCACCCGGTAGAATGGCAAGAGCGCAATGGCTCTCTTCCATGCGCCGCAATTTCCAGACGCCGGCGAAAGTAAACGCAATGTTGGCGTCCACGAAAAGAGTTTGCAAGGAATCTTGCCTTCCAGACGAAAATATACCAAATGATCATTTCTCAAAGCCGCAAAATTATTGCATCGGTTTCCATTTGCCCACGTGCGGAGTACATATAAAAGCAGATGAGAGTTGTGTGGGTACTCGCGCCTGCGGCGATCGGTTTCAATCCGGACATCCATGAGGATCGTTGTGTATAACTGGAGATCCAGTACCTCATCTGATTAGTGAAGACTTTCTCCATTGTCCTGGGAAGTCAAACAATGCATGAAATATTGCTCAAGCTGCCGAACGAAGTTCATCGCCATGAGAGCGAATGACGTAAAGTTAACGCATTGACAGTAATCCCATTAAAATATTTGCATTCGTGTTTTTTAATTTGCGATGTTTTACATAAAGCTACGTCATTGAGGCGTTTACGCGCATGTAGCACAGTAGCTATTGTATTGCATGCCGCACCACGCCTGTGATTGTTTACCGCGTGGGTGGCTCCCTCGAGCACTGGGATGCCGTGCACCGATTGTCAAAACCGGATCGGAGATTGATCATAGTACTATGATTAACCTAATACGTACACTAGTGTGCACATATGCGGGCGTGCGAAGGCCTATCAGAAGCCACGCCACGCACGAAAGCAAGAGCTGCGCCGCAGCTCTACGGTCCGATGCCAATTTCGAATACCAGACCGTAGCTTCATCTCGCAGTGGTACCCCGCAACGGCCTCAGGAGGCCATCGCATCAGATGCGTAACGGCGACGCATCGCCGCATCAGGTTCCACAATCAGCTTGCCAGCAATCCCCCCAGTCTTCCTCACGTACTGTAGTTCTGGAACTACTAAAGTCTATTGAAGTACGCAAGTACTGAACTTCCAGCACAGTTCGCGTGACGCGCCCCCGCGTCACCTCCGCCACGTGGCCCAACGCCGCTGGTACGCCGCCGCCCTGCCTTTCCACGTCATCTCTCATACCTGGTGTGTACACACCACCACAGGTACGTTGCGCAGTACTGGACCCCACTACATAACCCCGACTACTCGCCACCAGGTATGCCTGACCCGTACCGGGCTCCCTGCGGGCCGGTACCTCTGGGCTGAGCGCGGGGATCGGTGCGGTCAAATGCACCGGTCAGCTTTGACGGTCGTGTGACGCCCGCCCTGGAAAACGTCGCTGGGCTCCCCCCAGATCAGCCCCCGTACATTAATCAATACAATTATCGGCTGGCCATGATGAGCGGATCGCCTCATCCCCCCCCGTTGGACGGCCCCCCTTACATTGCGTCAGTACCGTTGCGGATGATGCGCAGCGCTCGAGAGCGGGCCAGTTGGGTCAGTCCGGTTTCAGCGGGACTGTCCCGTGGGGCGGTCTGCGTTGACTGAACCCCGGCGGCGGTGCGTGGGTCAGGTCTGTCTGGACAGCTTCCGGATGACCGGGTACCGGACGGCCCTAGCGGCGGCCAGATACACGCACGGCCGGGGACACATCCTCGTGCGCAGGGAAGAAAGTCTGCACGCGCCCCCAAGCCCCAGTCAATTTTGGACCGCCGCAGCCGCCGTGGACTGCCGTCACCGGGCCGCTTCCTGCGCACCGGCACCAGCAGGGCCCCGTGAGATAATCTGAGGCACCCGCCGGGGATTGATTCGAAGGATTGGCGCATCGGTCGGGTCGATTGCCGAGCGGGAGATGGGCGCTGAGGGGTACAGCCTGGCGTGCGGGGAGTGGGGGGGATGCGCGTGGCGGCTGGCGGAGGGCGGAGCGGGCAGGGTGGGGATGTGGGATGGCGGCGCCAGGGGACCGGCGAGGAATTGCTGGTCGATGGACGCTGCGGATGTCGCGGGCGTGGGTGCGGCGCTGGAGGGGGCGCGGGCGGTGAGTGCGGTGGGGGATCAGGGGAAGCTCGTGATGGAGTTGACTGTCGCCAGCGTTGAAGAAATCGGACAAGGGAGGGATAGAACTGGGTGGGGGGAGTGGGCGGCAAGGGCACGGTGCGGGGCCAAACCCTGGGCACCGAGCTGGCCACCCCGGGCAACCCTAGTCGACGCGGCGCGACGCTTCCCGGATTCCGTGCTCGATGGGGCGAGGCCGAGGGCGCTTGATCGTCCCCCTTTCCCTTTAGAGTTTTGATGGCTGCGGCGTGGAGCGACGCGGCGGGGCGCTACCCCGCGGGTCGATCTCCTTGGCGGGGACGCTTGTGTGTGTCTCCGCGTGTGTGTGTTTTTCGCCGGTCCGCTCTTCTACGGGCTTCAAACAGAAACTCGCGCCAAGCGGCGGCCGTTGGTGCGTGAATCGGCGGCGCCGCGCGCACGAGCGCCGTTCGGCGGGACGCTTCCCGTGCCGCGCAGCCCCAAGCGCCGCTGCGCGTGGCGCTTGGGCGTCCGTCCCCTTTCCTACACCCTCGCACACTATTGCCGTGCCGTCTGGACGCGTTTCATAATTGGCAGTGCCCGAAGCGCGCGGCTCCGCGGCTTGCATCGCCTTGCGGGGCGGCCAAGCCAAAATAGAGCAGACCGCCTTGGCCAGAACGCCGCTTCGAGCGTTGAAACCCCCTTGCCGCCGATTTTCGGATTTCATCGCGACCCCATGGTGTGTCTCTCCGGGGTGGGCGAAGCTGTGGGGGCAAACTAGTCAGCGTGGAGCCCTGTGCGGCTTAACGGCCACTGTTCCCGCGTCCAGCCAGTCCTTCTGGAGCGCCTCTTCGTTGCGGCTCGATGCCTTTACCTGCGGTATGCCTTTGCCCAGTCCCTTGATGCAGGAGCATCCGGTTCTCCGCTCGGACTGGGACCCCCCTTCGATTCCCCGAATTTCAATCGAGTTTTCCGCAAAGCTCCAAAGGGTTTAGAGCGAGCGGCGACGACTTCCCGGGCGCGAGTCAAACCCTTGCTGCCGAGGCGGCCGACGAGTCCACCGGGTGCCGCCAGGGTTGCGTCGACTTGGCTTCGGTCGTCAAACTTCGTCAGACATGCGTGTCGCGCCGAAACTACGGCTAGCACGGCCGAACCAACCAGAGTGAGAAGATACAGGGAGCGCCCTCTCGTGGCGAAGTGGCCAGTCACGCCTGTACTGGGACTGTGGGGGGCGCCCCCGGTTCAGTAAAGCTCAACCCAGGAGCGTGTGGCCGTCCGAAGCGTGCCGTGGGGACACGTACGCGTTCGCGGCGATCCACGGACGATGTGTGTTGGTTTGTGTGGCTCGGGTGCCGCGCTCGACTCGAGGTGGAGGTCCAATGCTGGGATGGTCCGATGTGGGACGGAGCCGAGCGCGTTCAGAACAAAATGCACAGGCTTTGAGCAAACTATTGGGCACACACGCACTCGCCATATAGTATTCACTGTACGGTGAACACAAGACCAAAGTACTTAGTACTTGGTCTTATACTCACTTGGCCCAAAAGGGCAGTTTTGTCGCTGCGGTCCCTGACGATCGGAAGACCGTGTTGTGCGACCTGCAACGCAGCAATTACGCCGTTTCTGAAACTGGGTGTCTACAAATGGAGCAGGGAGCAGTCAGCTGGGAAGTTTGGGAAGGTGCAGAGAATGGACGAGCTTGGACGCAAAGCGGCAGCTCACTTGTGGGGGTCGTGCGTTTGCTGGCATGGTGCTGATCATTTTTGCATACATTTCAATGAACGCTGAGCTGGCATCACCCTTTTCCGCAAAGGCAAACACACAGTGCCTAGTGAGCGTTAGCAGCGCTATAAAAGCAGTGGAGAATCGTATTGCAGCTTGTGCGTTGCAAACGTATTTACTAGATGGAAGAAAGGCTTGTTGTTTATGCATAAAGTACTTCGATATTGTCAATTTCCCGTACTCAGGCGTAAGCATACGCCATCTGTACATAGAGCTGATGCTCAAGCGCATCATTAGATTCCTTGGAATACAAGCGCATCAGGAACCCGAGGATTGGCAGCTGGCCGCGATGGAGTGGGTGAAGAGCAACCTTTTGTATGGCGTCGTCGACTTCCATTGCGAGGGCGAGGTATATCCATTGTTTGTGGTTCTTGAGGAGGCACCAATACGTTGTTTTGTCAGTGGCTACACGTTCAATGGCTGCTTGGTCGGCCCAACTTGGTCCAGCGCAATATGAGTGGCTATGGGCGTCTGGATGGTGCTCCATATGCTTGTGCAAAGCTGCGCATAATCATGCAAGCGCCATGGCCATCCAGGAGAAAGAAAGAGTTTTTGGACATCACAGATGCGCAAATATTTGTATGCAGCACGTCCTCTAAGCTTTTACCCGTCGAATGGTTTATGCTCCTTCGGCACTCGTGCTCAGTCCTTACGTTTGAGCATAAAATTGAAGAACTCAGAATTCTGAGGTGCGGGCACTGGAATTTGAACTTGGCTTGATCACCTGCTGACATACCAAGATGAATCATTTTTCGTGCATGATGGCTAGCAAACGCCGACGAATTGGTATCCCTATTCGTGGCCTGCGGTTTGTCGCCTCTTGACTGCCGCTCGTGGGCACCGCTGGCTTGCCTCAGCCCTTGCACTGTGTGACAAGGGTAATACCCCTTGGAATTGAAGGTCCTATGCGAATTACTCGCCTGCACACGGCTGAAAGACACTTGCCCGTCACGTTGATGAGAAACAGTTGTGTTTTCAGTTTGGCTGATCAATTTCAATTGGCGTTGCGTCGACAGGTCTCCGGTAAAAGTCAGTCGCTGTGGATGCCCGACGTTGCATCCCTCCAGTCGACCGATCTAGATGCAAGGTGGGATTAGCTGATCCTCCTGTTTGCCCACTGACGCCATCAATTGTAATGCGTTTTCTATCGAAATATATGTGCGCACAAATGTATGGAACACTAACCCTGTCGCATGTGTTGGCGCCTGGAAAGACTGAATTCGATTTTGAATTTCCATTGAACTAAAAGTTGACTTATGTGCACAGTGTGGAGCGAAAGCTCGACCGCGCCGTGAATATAGTCTCTAGAAATTTGGTGCGCGGAGCGACGCGTGGCGAAAACACTGCAATAGACAGTATTGTGGGCCTTATGTTCCAGATGATAGATTCATTTGTGCCCGCTGAGAAATCCTTTAGCTAGGGGCACATGAGAAGAGTCATGCCCAGGAAAGACAGCTTGCACAATACTAATAAATTGCCTCCAGGCTTCTGTCAGCAGGAATTAATGCAGATGGAAATTTCTCTTCCGTACAGTACGTTGCAAGCAAAAGACACCACCACCAATCACTGCACTGTCTCCACATTGTGAATCTGCATACATAATCAGCCAGCCGCTTCTGGACACAAACTTCATCCAGCACGATCTGGTATTGCAAGAAAGTTCAAATACTCTACTACAGCTTTGTGTGGTAAGCATGGCAATGATTTGATCACACTCAAAGCAGGCGACAGTGCTGCTGGCTGCGTTCAGGGCGAACAACGCATCGCCCATCCTTTCAAGTCATCCCTCCAAGAAATGCCCCAAAATTGGTACATCAGCCACAGCATATAAAGCAAGTACGTCCACTGCTCCATTGAGCCGCTGCAGAATTCCGGACCCCCTTTGCGCAGCACGGTCACTGACCAATCACACAAAACGCCGCCACTGCCTATCATTAACATCATAAAATGCGATGTGACAAAGCAAAGAAGTGGCCGTCATATCCCTATTTTGCCCGAGCAAAGCGGAGCCCACGATTTCTCATTGAAATCTAATATAGTGCTTAATATTGAAAACTACAATAGAATTTGTTCGTAACTATATCCGGTATTTGATAAAGCAACAGCCTACCATGTGCAACGGCTGTGCATTTGCTCTTGATGCAAAATCAATCAACAGAGCTCAAGGATGGTTGCTGGCAATGCACGGCATGCCAGGTTGGACGACATGCTGCTGGCGGCCCGGCTGCCCTCCTTCGGTGACGAGGCCGCTCTCCCCGCGCGGATACGGGACCACCTGATCCGCGACCGCTCCGCCTCCCTCGACCTGCGCGCCGCCAATTCGTTTAAGCTGGCGTCGGCCCTCAAGGGCCCCGGACCCGAGGGCCCGCCCTCGCCGCCCCTGGCCGCCCGGCAGCTTCCCTCCGGGTGCCTCGGCGGGAGGAGCGTGCGCGACGTCATGGCGGCGGCGGCCGCCGCGGCGGTGACGTATGCGCCGGGCGTGGGGGGGTCGCCTTCCAGCTCGGCGTCCTGGGACTCGCATTTTAACGCCGGGCGGCTGGACGGGGATTTGCACGGCGATGGGATGGGATGGCGGGGGGCCGATGTGGACTACAGGATGAGGCTTCCCAGCGGTGGGTGGGACCGGTTTAAGTTGGCGCCAGGAAGGTGGCTGAGATATCGCGCTTTGGTGCAATCCTGTGGAAGCTTTGATCAATTTATTTTACCTTATGCATTGGGTGCGGAATTGTATTGACATTGCACAATGTTCACGATGATAATCGTCTTGTCCTCGCGGGACGAGGGACGGGAGGGATTCGGAAACGCTTTGTGGACATGATGGATAATGTACATGATGAAAATGAATATGTACATTTGAATCCCAATGGACAAAAAGAGGTCTCTGCTTTGGGAGATGGTTGCAACTCTTAATCTCAACAGCGTTCGCAAAAGTGCCTGCAGGACTGGACGTTTGTGCCGTTTGGTCGTGAGCACGCATTGCTCAAACGGTGCAAAAATATCCAGGCATTGTTGCTTGTCGATTTGCTGCCTAGTTACAGCCATTTTCTCAATCTGTTGTTTGTTTCGCTGCTCGCATTGAGTCGCCCAATGTTTTCAGCTAAGATATCGGCGCCTGAGGCTTCTGGAGCCTGTTTCAGGTCCTAGAAAAGCGGGAGAAGGAGTCGAGGACGTTTTCCAGCACATTGTCGCCGTCGAGAAGATTCGAGAGGGGTAAGGTCAAGGACATCAGATAATTGGGCGGGATATTGGATGAACAAATGCAAAGATGCTCGCCGAGCGCTCTGCCGACAGGCCTAGAAATGTTGCCCTGATAAATGCAGAGTAACAATGGGGGCCGCTTGTCAGACGCCACGAATCTATAGATGTAGCGTGCGATCCCTCATTGGCATGAAGTTGACCCACGTAAAGGGAACGTCGCACTTTGCTGTGCCATGCACATGGCCTCATCCCTGGGAATTTTTCAGCCTCTTTCCTCCCTTAGTGCCAATTTATTGCACGTAACATCCGCCTTCTGCGCTGTCCGTGCAGATGCGTGTTGGTTCGGACGACTCTGCTGGTGGCGGGCTTCATAATAGGTGCGCAGAAGCCGGGAGATGGCGCGATTCGATGCCACAGCACGGCGAGCCGATATGGCAGATTGATGCAATGTCCGAGGAGACGTCCCGACACAATTGTTTAGTAATATACAGGGGATCTATGCTTTGGCTCAAGTGGCAAGCCATATCTAGCAAAACCCAAACTTTTGAAAACAATATACCATTTATTATCAACCGTTTTACAGATTTTTCAAATGCCAATGTGATGTCAACATAGACTCTGCTGACTAATGCTACTGGTGTGAAAAATTTGCCGCGGTCCATGAATTCCGCTTTGGAATTTCATGCATATGTGCAGCTCATGTCAGCGCATGCCAATGGTGATGTTTTACTACGCAAATGACCCTATCGCAGATTATTATTAAAAATTTTGCAAGGCCATATGTATCTAATATCTATGCTCAGTTCATCACCTTCTCGCCTATTCGAGCATCAAAGTGAATCTTCTTGTTCAAAACTGTACAGGATCATCCGGAATGTCAATCAGGGGCATCATTCAGAAGAGCGGGGCCTCCATCACTTCATCGACGGTTCTGTGGCCGCCAAGCAACCCCAGAGGAACGCGCGAGTTCATGATAGTGGTGAGCGGCGGAAATCTCCTTGCGACGAACACATTGCAGCACGGATGTTTCTTTTCATCGGACCGTCCCAAGAGATTCAAACGCTTGGATGCAATGCATGCTCGAGCTCAAAGGTGACGCTGGCTGCCTGAAATCAATTTGAATTTGTCCATCATTTCCTCTGGTGCAGGGACCGTCAGAATCAGTGGCATACGCCCTGGACATCATGTACGAAGCAGTGGATCGTTACAAAAAGCTGTCGGAGGGCCTCTTTGCAGGTTGGGCGTCTGCGAGTGGCATCTCGCTTGAGTGCGTGGAACAGCAAGAAAACGCTTTCGTGCTCGCGTCTTTGTAACCTAAGAAACAATATTTAGATTCATTTTCGCCTTCAGTTCATGCTGGTCCTAAAATTCACGTGATGGTTTCATTGCGTTTAACTAGATTCACATGTAAAAGCTGATGCAGTCTCGGGGCTTCTGATCTTCGTGCGGTCATCAGCGTGTACGTTGCTCGGCTGTGTTCTTGGGACCCGAATGTAAGTTCTATGCACAAATTTGGGCATGTGTTCACATAAATATGGCCGGAAAACCCACGCCCTCGACTCCTTCCCGTTGTCTCCCGTTGCCAACGCCAAATGTTTGGCGCTGATTCCCCGTGAGAAAAACAGTAGGCGCTTTTTGACGGTGCACAGAAGGCCTTGGTCAAGTTTAGCTTGAAGATGGAAGAGACAACGTTGCAAAATTTCTTACCAGCAGTGTCCTAAGTCTGCAAGAAAGATAATGCAGCGAACACGTGGCTGTTCCAAGCGTCGAGGGTATGGATGCCCATTATTCCAAGCACACGGGCTCATATGGGACTTTCAAGAACATTTTGGTGGCTATATATCCAGACACTACAAGCTCATTGTAATCTGCAGGCGATGATGGGGATGACATATATTGACTGACATATACTGGATATCAGCATTTCACTTCTGTATACCTGCGCTAGCAGAGACCTTTTTCTTCAAACTCTTTCTGTGTGAATTTCAGGTCAGCATGTCGAGCGCTGCCAGACGATTCGAGACGTTCAATTCTTTTACCAGCCGCCACCCAGAGGAAAGGTCCCATACGCGGCAGGGATCAAAGTTCGAAAACCAAGGTAACGCTGAAACACACTGCTTCTGAGAGAACTTCCAGTTATCTGAGCGCCAACAATTGCAGTAAAATACGCAACAGTTGCGTTTTTTATCATACACAGTTTCAAATTGTAATCATGGACAATCGTTAAGTTACTTGATGATTGTCCGTGATTTACAACTGAGTAAAATTTATAGAGAAAATGACAAGTTGATACCTTTTTTGGGCGGATCATTGTCCGTGATTTACAACTGAGTAAAATTTATAGAGAAAATGACAAGTTGATACCTTTTTTGGGCGGATCCAAACGTTTTTATTTCGCCTAGTCAAGCCGACGATTGCCTTACCAAATTGCAATGGAACACCTCAGTTGGCGGAGCATGGCAATGCAATATTTGACAACACGACAGAGACGAACTCCACTGGGATGATATTCAATGACAGAGCATTTTCCAAATGGAAATTCTGCCCAGTGCAGGAGGTAAGATGCATCCGTAAGAATGAGCCTTGAAAAATTGTTTTCATGTTTCATTGTTCCAGTGTTTCCATGCTTCTCAAGCATGGACAGCGGAGAAAATCGTTTCTTTAAATGATGCAAACGCACTTCCCATACCCCCCATGGTCGCTGAAAGCCACTTCTTTTTCTGAAAAGAAAATTTTACGCAAATCTGGACTGTTGAGGCTACAATCAGATTTGCAAACAGAAGTTTTGACGCTGATGTCTTGAAGGACATCTCAATGCAGATTCCTCGATTCCGTTTGGAAAATCCTTCCTGTGTGGCGCAGTTCCATCGCCAATGGATCGTCCTGCATGTTGCGCACGAGGCGCCCCGAGCAGCGCTTCAATTTTGCCAAGCGACACTAATTCAACCGAGCGCCGTCTGGGCGGCAAAAAGGCGGAGCGGTCTCTTGAAGCGACGCGCTGTGAACAGGGGGTTGAGAGGGCCAACGAAGCAGAAAGATCGTCCGTGATGCGAAGACTCAGGCGTCCGTCACGTGACGTTATTGACGTCATTGATGTTACGTCAGTGACGTCGTTGATGTGGCACTTTTGGCGTCACCAGACAAGCAGGTCAGGGGCTGCTAAAGACGAGGGCAATGGCCCTCCCGTTCAAGAGGGCGAAACTACCTACCTACCGTTGCTAAACTCGAGGTTGCAATTTTTGAATTGTCGGCGGAAACCCAAAACGAAGTCACCGCCTCTGTGGCCATTTCCGCGGCACGTCCCTCACTAGAGGGGCCGGAGGAACGCATTTTCTATTCGAAATTGTGCATGTTGATGTTGAGCAGTAGTAGTAGCGATGTGAGTAGTAGCTAAGGCCGAGGTTGCCGGCGGGGGGCTGCTGGGGCGTTGGGAGAAGCGCTGATGGGTTGGTGCGGGGTGCCGTTGTTGCTGCTGTTGTATTGCTGGTACGTGGGTAGAACGGGGGTACGGGGTGGGGCGGTTCCAGAAATCGAAGTTTGGGAATTTGAGGTCCGCAATCCCCAGCGCGGATCTTGCAGGCTTTTTCAATGGTTGCGAGCACGCCTATATTCTGTTCCATCAATCGAACGGATGCCAGCCATCGAAGGGAAGCCCTCATGCGAGGAACGAACACCTAGTATGGGGATGTTGGTGTCTGGAGAGACCTGCGACGCATTAGAGTAAGGCAATGGGGGCATATAGAGTCGCAGTATTGATTGGCGTCTGGTGGGGAAGCGAAGGCAGTAGAAAACGAATCTTATCTGGTTACCTGTTTCATGCCAAATATGGCGGATCTCAGACGTTTTTTTGTATCAAGGGCTGCCATCATTAGCGGCGCGCTTGCGTTCCCGTCTTTCTTTAGTTCTGAAGGAGCGTGGGGCGGTCCAGGAGAGGTCCCTTTGGGACCTGGAAATGGGCAGAAATGTGCATTCTCGTTCTCTTTTATTGGGAAGGGCTAGTAACCTGTGAAAGGCTATTTTCTTTCTTTTTTTTGCAGAAGCTTAGTAATGTATGAGGGCCATGACCTGATGCAAGTCTGTTCTGTAGCTCGTTACCTAGGGACGAGGGGAAAAGGCGCGGCGGCGGCTCCCAGTGCGGGGTGCGCGGTTCCACCGCTACGTTGGCTGGCGCCTTGCCGAGTGAGTCAAAATGCTGTCGCACCTGGATCACTTCTCAAGGGGACATTTGCTGCGTTTTGAGCTAATAGACCGTTGCACTGGAAGTCTCCGACCGGATGCCCATGTTCGGGCGACGCGCACCCGCTGGGCGTTGCGTGAAACACGTCATTGTCTCAGCATCGTTATTCAGTTGCTGCGCGGCACCGGCAGCTGCGTTACACTGCCCGCTGTTGGGAGGTGGTAGCCAGTCAGTCCATCGGTCTGAAAGTCCTTCAGCACATCTGGGTGCCAATCCGCGGAATTTCTAAGTCTGCGCACAGGACCCACGTTTACGTATTTTCACTCGTTTTCACGCTTAAGAACTTAAGTACTATTACATGTACACATAAATACACTGTGTTCACGCTGTAATGACGAAGCTTGCTCGGGCAGCCTGGATCGCCATCGACGATTCCACGTGCAACCCTGAGCGCAATTCCCAAACAATGGTTTAGACATGCTTTGGGACTGGCCAGTGTCTCACCACTTGGATGACTAATCTTCATTTTAGTACCTGTGGTGTGCTCCTCTGCCTGATGCCTTCAGCCTCCATTGTTGTATGGACGCTGGCCGCACCACGCCGTTCGGTTATGTGTTAAGGCATGTCCTCGGCCCTGTCCATTGCTGAGTACCGAGGACTTTGAAATCCATTGTGCCGCTCTCTGCCAAGCGTTTGGTGAAGGACACAGGAGGTCCAAGGACGAACAGGCTAAAACGCCGGTCATTAAAGAGTGGCCCAGCGTCCAAAGTTCACCTCCTTCCAAAAGGTCAAGAGCTTGCTGGGTGTCATTCCATGTCCCGGTTTGGAAGCCACCAGGCCGCTGCCACCAGCGTCCTCGCCACAGGGGGGGAGGCGGTGCCGTCGGCGGGCTTGCGCGATGACCGCGGCGACGGACGAAGGCAGAGGCGTCCAGGTGCGCGGTTGGGCAGCGGCAACGGGCCGACTCGCCCTTGGGAGCCTGCCGGAGCCCGCACTGCTTTGGGTTTCAGCTGCAGGGACAGCGGCCTGGCTGTGAAGATTATGCTTGAGGAAAGAAGAATGTCCTGCTTGGCTGCAGAGAATGCACTCTTGTGGCAAGGGCACGGGGTAACCGCCGGGCGTTTTGAACATCCTGCCGCTTGGGCAGATGCCGACTTGGCATTCCCTTAAGCATCCCGGTGGCCAACGGCGGTCACCAGATCTCGGGTGGCTTGCGCTGATATTCGCAATTTCGCCACGATCCAAAGCTGCATTGAGGGCGAGCTGTTAGCGCCGCTGTGGCTGTGGTTTGCTGGTTTTGCTGCTCGACATTGTCAGCGTCACCTGCAGCACGGACAGCCACCACACTGTCCGGGTGGGCTTTGAGGTGTGTGGCTCATGATGTTGCCATTTGCAAAGTGCTGAGGCGCATGAAGTCCCCTCTGCCAGCCTCAGCCAAACATGCTTAAGCAGCCCTGGATGTAGAACGAGTCAAGAGCAAACAGAGAGTGTCAAAGCATTGCGTCCAAGAAGACAGATACGTGTTATTGCCTATCTTACCGACTGCTCACCACACCACTCATAGTGGTGCTTTGAATCTCTTCCACAGCCAGAATTTTAGTCTAGACACATATGGTACAGACCATCGGAGTTCCTATCAAACACTGATTGCGCTGTCCACAACCTCGCCACGGAGAGTGAAGGACCTAGTCGCTCGGGCAGCCTTGTTTGTACTGCGTTGAATGGTCTGTTACATTCTGAAAACAAAGGCTGGTGGAAACTTATGGGCCTGGCATGGCTGCATTGTATTACGTGCAGTGTGTGGTTGTATTCGCAATGCTGATAGATTGAATTCAACACATGTGTTGTTTTCACTGTTTCCCAAGGTGGATTGCTGGAACCTGTCAGCCCAATTGTTGTGCAGTAAATGTTGCGAAACGTGCACAATATGGACATTTCTGCTGCCAAAGCTGATGGCGATGCTTTTGCGTAATGGCGCAATAAATATTGTGCGAGAATTATGTTGTGCTGATGGCACATGCAGCTATCTGTGGCCTCGGTGGCTGTCAAGACTATCTGTTGTCTCAGAAATGTGGAACAAGTTTGGCCCTGTTTTGTTCACTTCAAAACCAATCAGTTAATCTAGTACTGTGACAGCAAAGGTTAAGGCTGTTGCTGAAATGTTGAACATGGCAACAGGGATGGGCATGCCTGCAATTTGACCTGCTGGATAGAGTCAAGGAAGCTTGTCAAGAAGGGGGAGGTGAAAGGGCAGTTGGCCGCATGTTGAAGGCTGCGCATCTGACAAACAGTCACTGGTCACAGTGGGCTGCAAGCAGCATTGAATTGCTTCAGCCTGTCAAGCCTGTGGCCTTGCAGGATGTTCTGATTTCACTGGATACACACTTTCTGAATGTAACACAGGTGGCCCTCCACAGATGCACAGGTGTGGATGACACGGCTTTGACTGCCCTCGGTTCAAGGTCGTCGATTCACCATGTCAGTTTGAGCCGATGCCGACAGTTCATCGGAAGTGACATTCAGAGCCTGGTGGCATCACGATTTCTGGACACACTCGATCTTAGCCATTGTGAGCAGGTGGACAACGCAGCATTGCAGAGTTTGGCCACTTGTCTGTCACTGCGGCATCTTGACATCAGCAGGTGTCGTCAATTCGATGATGGAGGAATGACATTCCTGTCATATTTGACAGGCCTGTTGTCTCTAAGGATGAGCCATTGTTTTGGAGCCACACACAAAGGCATGGAGGCATTGGCAAGTATGGAGCATTTAGAGCATCTTGACTTGTGCTTCTGTGTGCGTATCTCAGACGAGGGATTGAATTGGCTAGAGCAGTTGACAGCACTCCATCATCTTGGCTTGGCAAAATGCAACATCACGGATAGGGGAGTGGCGTCCCTGACAGGGCTGACTGGGCTTCATCACCTTGATCTGAGCGGATGCGATGGGGTTACAAACATTGGGATGAAATGCATTGCAGCACTTACAGGCTTACAGAATTTGGACATGGGGGATTGCAGAATTTCAGATGAGGGAATGGCTTCGATGGAGTGTCTGACGACCCTGCAGCGTCTTCGCCTCACTTGCTGCGAAGGGATCACGAACGAAGGTTTCAATTCATTCACAGCACTGAAAGGGCTGCACCATCTTGATTTGTTTGCCTGCAGTGGCATCACAGGCACAGGTTGGCAGCCATTGGCAGCCCTGACAGCCCTCACTTGGCTTTGTTTGACCAGCTGTGAGGGCATCAGTGATGAAAGTTTGCAGTCGCTGGTGGGCTTGACGGCACTGCGCCATCTTTATTTGGCCATGCTGCCAAGAGTCACAGACGAAGGGGCAAGATTGCTGTCAACTTTAACGGGGCTGCGTGGTCTTGACATCAGGGGTTGCGATCAGATCACGCGCGGGGGAAGGCAGGCTTTACGAAATCTGAAATGCATGCGGAAGTGGGTCTGTGGCATGCCCAATGATAGTATGATAACAGCATGATGGAGCATGGTTTAGCTCTAGTATTGAGGGCTACGTTATGCCATTTCTACATTCCGATCTGGCAACCACTCCAGCAGAACTGGATGTGCTCGTGCTATGTGCAGAGCAGACAGTCAGATTAACATCGCATAGGTTCCGATGTTCGCCAAAGTCTCAGCATGATTGGCTAGTGTGGTTTGCACTATTTGCTTGCAAATTCCCACGTGCGTCGGCTTTGCTAGCCTCGATGGAAGCATTGCACAATCCCATCAGAAGACCCCATTTCACCATTGTGGACTCGCGACACAACACAATCCAACCTGTGGCTCTGAGGCCCGGAAAGTTATCGACAACTTGCAGAGTACCTTCGAATATGCGCCGGACGACAACTTGCCCCTCCGGCTTTGGGCAGTGGGACTGAGACGCTGGCCCAGTTGGGTAAAACGGGGCAAACGTCATGGCGCGGCTCGCACAGCGCGCCTCAGCTAATGCCGAGGCCTATGGTCATGACTATGTTGTTTCGCAGAAAGTGTGGATAACGAGCTAATTGACAACTGCTGGCGCTGCCAAATTCATTGCGACACTAAGGTGTGTCGCACGCGGAGCTAAGAAACAGGTGACCCCCTGCTTTCCTCACTTGCCTGCCGAGGAGGGAGACATTTGCACAGTGGTGGACCATTCGGAACTGGTAAGGAGGATTACCGCTGTGCGCTGCAATCTTGCTGGGCTCTGGAACGACTGCGAGTGCAGCAATATTTACTGGTGCAATAGGGCGCCTATGCGACCCATATTCGCTGATGATCTACACACAAGCGAATGCATGTCCCACCGGCTTCATTAGAAGTGCAACAGGTGTCAAAACCCCGTCAGCTGAATGCCCTTGGTTAACACTGTCTGCACACGACAACACACAATCCTTGCGCATAGAGATCCAATGTTCGTTTGTTCATATCATGCACATGATTAACGCGCATGATATGCCCCCATGCGTATTGGAAACCACAGGCACAAAGTAGGACAAGCAACTGCATTATGTTTCGTTGAAACGGCGAAAAACACCAAACAGAAAGCTGAACCAAACAGACAAGCAATAGGATCAACGCCATCAGCACCAACCTGAGCTTCTCAGCGCATCGCCCACGTCAACAAGCGCACAAACGCATCAGCAAAGTCGAAGCATCAGCACGTTGACAGCATTGGGCAAGGAGCTGCCGAATGGGTGGCAAATTACTGGCCACGCACAGCACCACGTTCACCCAAGTGGGCGTTGAGCCTGATGGCGTCCTGCCACTGCAACCTTCACAAGCACATCGCTTCGAGAAAGAAAGGAAATTTCATGGTTTGTTTACGAATTTACACTCAGATTCTGGCGATAACAGATACCCCATCCAGTTCATTCTGTGCGCGGATTTGCACCCAACATCGACGCGCAGGCATTAGGTCAGTGTGTGGCCACTTCTCGCAAAATGGGTTCAGTGCACGCGCATATGTGTGTGTGCGAACACATACATGCACACATATTCAACATGCATGTCATTTCGTTCCATTCTCTGCTGCCTTCTCTCTGGCCGCCCTCTTCCTTTCCCTCTTTCCTTTCCTCTTCTTCTTTTCCGATGCCACTTTTCCTGGCATTGCATCGCCAGTCTGCGTCCCAGCTGTCCCTTTACTCGAACCCCCGCCCGCTCCAGCGTCCTCGGCAAAGGGCTTCACGCTCGGCGCGCCTCCCACATCTGCAATGCGACAACCCCCTTGTTGGCAACCAGCGTATTTGTGGAACTCAGTCCTGCTTCAAGCACGGTAAGCCACATGATGTGGGCGCAGGCGGAAATTGTGCTAAATCAGCAATTCAGCAACGCCAAACAACAAAACTAGATTAGTCACATGGACAATGCAAAGTTCTCTCACCTGTGTCCCCAAGGGCAGACGCCCCTGATCTACTGGCAAGCGCGGCAGTGATCCTCTTGCGCTGCCTAACCTTGCGGGCGTCCAAATCTTCGGAAGACTCCTCGCTGGCGGTGGGCCGCGCGACGCAGGGCCGAGCGGCGGCCGCAGCCTCTGCCGCGCCCTTCAGCACCTCTTCAGAGTCCACGACCACTGCACTGAGACACGGATTCTGCGCAGACACAACCAAGTCAGGACAACTCCGTGGCAAACCGCATACCGTGGCTCACTAAGCCGTTCGGCATGGCAATGTAACGCTTGGGCTTCTTTTGCGGGGCAACATTCGAATAACAAAAAACGCTCTGAAAAAAAGGAGGAGCAAACGGCATAACGGTAAATGTTTTGGATGCGGCAGGGTTAGTAAAATACGGTGGGGAAAGAACTCCGCATTTCGAAAGACCAGTACGGTTTCGAACAGCGCTGAGTTGATGGAAACCGTGTGCGACAACTATATGCCAAATGGCAAAGAACACACAGTTTGATGTGCTCACGAAGCGCGGATTACAGCGTTTGTCCACAAGTTTCAGAAATACGATACCGTTTAGGCGTGGGAAAATGTACGGTTTGAAAAGGGCAGTGGTGGACCGTATCAAACGTGCGATATGTCAATGCGAGACTGAGCCATGCAATCACATGCACATAATTGGGGCGATTTGCTGTGTAGTATAGCGCCGCAGTTCCGGATTGGGAGACGACCATGTAACCAAACGGAACATCGACGCTAACGACGTTCACACCGTCCGCCGTATGACATGTTTCTTGATACTCAACATGGGAATTCTCACTGGAACATGTATGTTGAAATTTGCAACTGTACTGAGCCTGTGCAGTGTGCTGATCCAGAATCAGGAGAAACAAGGCAGCCTGTGACACTTCCCGCAGTGTCGCAATTCATCTAATTGAGGCTGCGCATTTCGAAACAATCAACTTTTTAGGCATAACATCGACTTCCATTTTGTTGTGAGGTTGCTGAAGGCCTTCCTTTCCCTTGTCAGGTCAAGGCAAGTACCCGTGCTCCAACTTCTATGTGATATTTTGCAATAAATATCGACAGGAGCCGCAACACCTGCGCTACCCGTGTTCAGCGGAAAAATTTGGGCTTTTCGCCAAAAAAATCGCCACATGAAAACAAGGCGGACTCAAATCAACAGACCGATCATTAGCACGTCCCACCTTCACATGGTAACCCCTCTTCTCCCGTATTCTTGGGAATTGCTTTGGCACGCTGTATTCATTCATCAAGCTACCTGCACTGGGACCAAACCCACGATCCACACTTAGGCTGTATTACATTTGGCATAGCTTTGAGTGGTGCTGTTTGGTTGCAATTATCTGTATGTCATACCTGCCATTGAGTAATGCAAAGCATTGGTTGCACGGTCTGGTTGTGCATTGTCCTCATCGTGCATGTACAGCTCTCAAAGAACATGGCGCTTCACACACAAGATTCCAGAAATCCACAGGGCAGATCAAAACACGAACGTCGGGCCTCTGGAGTTTCAAATCATGCCTTGGGACCCACCACCATCCCCATCACCAGAAATGCAGTGCCGATGCAGTTGCTTGCAGGTAGCTGAGGAGGTTTCATTGAAGGACGTCATCATTGTGACAGGCTGTCATACCTCATTCCCGCAGAAGAATTTAAGCCAGGATTTCGCTTTCATTTTCGCGATATTTTGGGATTTCTGGGCCGAATTTCTAGCACGGATTTCTGCTCAAGGGGGAGAACAATCAGCGAACCTGAAAAGGAAGAGGCAGCCTCCAACAACCGTCGACTACGAAGTATGCTCGTTTTGCCCTTCCCATGCGCAATGGCAAGGCTTTGCCATTCCTTACAGATACATCAAGCGTAGAATACGAAATACCAACAACAGATGCACAAATCGATAAGCAGGCATCCAAACAAGCAAATAGAAAATAAGAGGAAAAGAACTTTGGCAGGGTAGCGCTCTTCCCTGTGCTGGGAAATCCCATCAAAGTGAAGTCCGATCTGGGGAAGTCACCATTGCACTATTGGCAGGAGTTCAACGTCGCCCAACAGTGGCAAGGACAGCGCGTTGTCATATTTGGACGCATGCTCTCGACTGTGATTCTCGTTTCGATGGAGTGCTGGGCCAGCAGCCATCTGGAAGGAAGGCCAGTTGATGTCAAAACTTACTTTGGGACTCGAGCAGTACTGGTGCACCTCTTGGCACCCTGCGGTACAAACGCAGGGCGCCGGAATCTTCATTCCCCTCCTGCTGCTCCCTCGGAACTTGTGCTGGTGCACCGTACTGCTCAGTTGGGGTGAACACACCATCCAGGAGGTGCTCGATGCGATCGTCCAGAAGCCGACGCAACTGCAGATGTGCGAATGTCCGAAATGAGGAGAATATGCACGGAAGGAGCACTTGGAGAGCTTGCGAGTGGAACAAGCAATCAAGCCTTAGTCAACCAGTACCATCAGCATTCCCCGTTCTCAGCGTCAGCTTTCTCCAATCTTGACTATGGAATCAGTTATGGACAAGAGCACGAGCGATTTGTTCCCAAAAGCATACTCATGGTGAAAATGTGCTGACATGGAAACAATGACTGACCAAATAATCGTGCGAACGTGCAGACCATCAGGGAAACAGATTTCACTGCCATATGCGGCATCCTCTGCCCTTGTCCAAGATGGTGGATCTACAACAGATCTAAGATCTCAGATGGTATCCATCAGAAACCTCTGCCATGGTGGCTCCCAACTATGTGGGCCATCAATGAGAACCGTGCAGCCCCAAACCATTGCTGGCATTTTTAAGCATCGGTTCCAATTAGAGCAATGGTGGGCATTTTTTGATGCAAACCTCTGTGATCAACTAAGCATACAGAAGGCTATTTTGGGTGCATTGTCTGTAGCATGCGGCCAACGCAATCTTTACCCAGTGCTAGCATCTGTAGAAAGTGACACCCAAAAGGAGTAAAGGAGGGCAGCCGATACTAACACGAGCATATGCTAGCATTGTTTAGATCCTTGATCAAAGATGTGAGCACCAAAATTTTGAAAACTGAGCCCTGGCCAAAACTGCAGAAAAGGGGGCAAAAAAGACCTGGCGAAAATTCGGCAGGAGACAGTGGGAAATGCATTGCACAAGTCACAAGTGGTGGCTTTGCAATTGTCACAAGTGAGGAAGCAAAACATCGGTGCAAACCACCACCCAAGTGCAGCCTTGACTCTTCACCTCTCGACTCCCAAACCCCATTCACCCAAATTAACTTAGACAGCATGACCCCTTGCCACTTCCCACGCTTACCTTCAGCCTTGGGCCTCCGATGCACGAGGCTTCCTGTCCATTACCCTCTGCATGTGCTCTTCGTTTGGAACTCTCTTTCTGCCACAAGAAACAGATGCTCTGATATCAGTCACATTGATTGCACCTCCAACTTCCTATTGATATGCACATCATGGCCTTGACTGTGCAAGATCAGAGCCTTGTCACTCTTAAGCAAGTTTGCACGGAATTACTTTCAACCTCCTCTTGATGGTCCTGTATAGCAGTGCCACAACCAGTTCCAATGGACGGCCCACAATTTGAAAAGGCATTTGCAGATGTGCACCCTGGAAAAAGGTCAAGGGCTTTGTTCCATCATTGTTCGCCAGCTGCAGTCACGTCAGAGTTCGTTTTGGGTCCACTCTTCGATTCTGGGAATGCTGTGCAATTTCTTTTTTAAACATCAGCCCTGCCATGCTGCACCAGTAGATGTCAGTTGTTACTTGCAACTCATTGGAAGTTGTTGCATTTGTGGGGCGCTCATTACTGCAACGAAAAGTGTCTCTTACATAAGATGTCCCTGAGTTCCCATACTGCAGGCTGAAAAACTGCTAGTGCACGACTGCCTTGCCAATATACATTAGGCACCCCTCTGCGGAGCTCCTCAGCGCATAAGCACAGGTTGCACCCATCCCCCCCATTTTAGGTCCAAAAGTTGTTACAAACAGCATGGGAGCTGTCCGGAATTGAATGACGGACTGGCGTCGTCGCAACATCCCCTTCCGTAGAAGTGGCATTGCTCACTTCCACGCAGCCGTCAGAAATGCCAACGATTCCTCACTGTCTGTCCAGACAGGGGCGCAACGATCGGGGAACCTGTCGCGACCAGCGCCGCACCAGTCAAAAGTGCGAATGCAGTTCATTGCTTCCGTTAACTCCGCCATGAGCAGCGCAAAGTCAGGTCGCGTATCGCAATTTTGGCTCAACGGTGCACCAAACAGAGCGCAGCAGTGTCAGGGGGTTTCCGGCAGGCCGCCCGACAGATCAGTGCTCAGTGGCGCCCGGAGCCTCTCTTCAAGTGGGCGCCGGACCCCAAGAAACTCGGCGCGAATTCCTCAACACAGCACTGGGCAAACGCGCCATTGCCTAGATTCCTCAAGACCACGTGTCTAATGGAGCATCCGTACAGCAAAGACGTTCTGACCTTTCCGCGGTTCGCTTCAATGTTCAGCGCCGCGTCCGTCCCCTCCGCCACTGCCCGCAACTGGGCAAGGTTGCCGTCTTCCGAGCTCGAGCTCATCACGCCAAGGGCGGCCTGTACCGCGGGCCACGTCCCTCGGCTTTGCTCGGCCCCGACTCGAGCGCCGCGGTCGAGAGCTGCCGCCTCTCCCCTGGCAGACTGCCCAACTCCGGTCACCGGCAAAGCAAGGCAATGAGAAACCCTCATTTTCCCACATTCTTTCTCATTTACTGCTGTAATTCAGATGCCATTTTCACAACAAAATTTCTCTTTCAGGCAGATGACAATCAGAACGGGACGAACGAAGCAGAGAGCACATTTTGGAAGAAAAACGAGTTCTTTCTGCAAGAAATGTTTGCTCAAAGGCAAGGAAAGGAGGAAGCGATGCGGTGACGTAAGAATGGGTGGCCGGCTGGCGGGTCGAGACGGCAGCGTACATTGCCGCTCGTACTTGTGGGGTGAGCGGTGACATGTGCGCGGCAGCCCTCGCGGCCCTGTTGCCAACGGCGTGTGGGGTCCCTCCCGCTGCCCGCCAGCCCGCCCTGTGTCTGGACAGGATGGTATGGTGGGCGCGGTGGGATCACGCCGCGCGCCGTTGACCCCCGGGCCGGTCGGCCCGCCGTGGCGGCATTGCATCGACAGGGGCCGTCTGCGGGCGGTGGGGAGATGCTGCGCGGCGTCGGAAAAGCTGCAGGTGAGAGGGGGCGCGGGGCGGGGCCAATGGATCGACGCTGTCGCACCCGGTCCTGGGTATTTGCCGGAAAGCTTGGGGAGATTGGGTTGATGGGGGCGGCGTGGGGATGTTTTGGGAATGGGCGCGGTCGATTTGGTGGTAGTGGGTTGTCGCTGTGGCCCTTTTGCTGAGACTGTGGTTGCTTTTACCAGTTCAGTTGGGGGTTTTAGTGTGGGCTCAATGCTGAGAGGGCTGCAGTTCAAGCACTAGGCTACAGCAACCTTTGGATGCCCGATTTGGGGCCGATTAAGACGGTTATGTTGAGAATGGGTATCCCGTGGCGAGCAACGGGCGACACTGCGTGCGCTACAGATCACTCCGCATCGCGCGAGCTGCGGTTGAGGATGTCCAGTTGTTACACTCCAGGGTGCAGTGCGCAAGTCCGTTGATCACATTGGACAAAGTGTGGGTGAACACTGTTACTGCAAAGTGATGGCTGGTGGACTGTCCAAAATACGGTCGCCACAAACGGCTAAGTCCAAGTCAGGCTGTAGGGCGTTTGAAAGTTGCCCGCGTTCGTTCCATTAGCTGCTGGTGGCTGATAGTCAGTCTGCTGGGGAAGCATACATGTTGAGTGACTGTGCACAGCCCTGTCACCTGGAAAACGACAAGGGACATAATTTCATCGGCAACTCTTGTTGCACAATTGCTGGGGGTTCAGCCTCTGGCATCCAGAACAGTGTCCTTTATGTGAATTATGTGGATCAAAAAAAAACAGTAGGACTGGATCTTGATGGATGTTCTAATTGTTGACTGTGTTCATTTCTGCAAGCATGGCCAATGCAGTTGCTGAAAATCTGACGTTTGCTCTATTTGGGCGTGACAGCCCAGTCCTGGCCAGAATCGTGATGGAGTAAATGGCCCCCAATTGCTGGCTATCTGCACTGGATGCAGTTTGGAGAGATTTCCAGCCATCCACAGATATTTGTAAATTGATTTGATTTAGTCCAAAGGCACCCAATGGTGCAAAGACAAGCATGTGATTTATTTTGGAATGGAGGAGATAGTACCTTTCTACATTGCTTATCGTCTTTCTGTAGGCAAGTGAACAAACAAATGTGTTCATTTGCCAACAAGAAATGTGCACGGAGTTGTGCCTGCCATCACCTTTCAGGTTCCTTTCAGTGTTTGCTACTCTGGCTACTTTTTGTCACTTTTGTTGTCGCTGTTTGCCTTGCCGATGTTTAGACGAATGTATTCAAAGGCTGTCACATTTCTGCGTGCAGGTGGTCTTTGTCACAACCGAGGTGGCACCATGGTCTAAGGTTGGGGGCTTGGGTGATGTGTTGTCAGCATTGCCAGCTGCTCTTGCTGCGAGGCAAGTTTCTTGGGTGTAATGCTGCAGTGCTGGGGGGCCATGTGTTGATTTGGATGTCTTGCCAACAACATGATTGGATGCATGATGCTCATTGGCTTTTGCTGCCATATGCTCAGGAGTGTGGCCTCATTTGTTAAACAATACACAAGAGAGAAGCTTCACTTTCAATGCTGTTGTCACTATCTTCCATCATCATGTGTGCCACCATCTTCAATGAAAGAAAGTGTTGAACATACATGTTTCAGGCCCACACAGCGGTATGGACAGTGTTAACCTCAGTCACGTTGAAGGTATTTGGGAGCCGTTTTGATGCAATTTGGGCACAACAGCATAACCTCACTGTCTCATTTCCCCAATCCAGCCAGTGGCTAACTGACGACACAGTGACAAGCATTGCTGTACTTTCTCTAGGCCATTCTGCGAATAGCCTAGAGAGTACACAGGCAGAGAACACATATGCAGAGAATACACAGGCAGAAGATTAATTGCAGCAAGAAATGCATACACATCGCACAGTGAGGACCTCTTCTGTGGAAATAGTTGTTCAGACTCTGCACTATGCAGTGGGACATGAAGTTGAACACCCAACACCATGCAGCATGGATAGCATAAATATGGACCTGCGTGTGTGGCTCACTTTGCTTTACAACCGTGATATCATCAAACCACAATAACACCACCTAACATCCCCTTCATTTCACACAGCTTTTCAATATCGTGGTGGACACAATCTTATGCTTTAATTCTGGTTGTGATCGAGGGGATTGATTGAACCACAGGGGCCATGAGGTGATGACGGTGGCCCCCCGGTATGCTGCCTATGAAGACGTCCATGACACTGGCCACCTGGTCCCACTGGCGCTGCCACAAGACCTCAGCAAAGATCACCCGCCCCATGGGCGCCTGTTCTTCTGCCGAGAGGCTGGCGTGGACCGCGTCTTCATCGACCACAGCTTGTTCCAGCCCTCTGCCGAGGACGACCGCTCCACGGCCCTCATATACCCTTCTGGGTATGCACCATGGGTGCCGGCGGAGAACCTGGAGATCTGTTACAGTGTGTTATGTCAAGCTGCACTGGGGGCACCTTTGATACTCTGGCCCTGGAGCGATCAGGGCCGGGTGGAGAGGCCATTGGGTGTGGAAAGTGGCAAGGTAGGGCATGGAAGTGGAGGGAGGGGAGGTTGGCAGGGTGGGAGGCGACCAAGGGGATTTGAGACAGGGGATGGCGTTGGACCTGATGAGGGCCCCAGAGGGAGCATTGAGAAAGGAGGGGAGAGCAGCGCGGTGGTGTTTGTGTGCAACGACTGGCCCTGCGGCCTGCTGCCATTGTGGCTGGAGCTGTACAAGGGGATGATCGGACAAGATGGAAAAGGAGATATTACCCAGGCAAGGGCTGTAGCCATTGCTGGGGTTGCGGGGGGCCGATCGGCAATGGTGCCTTCAAGCATTGTGAATGAACTGGAGGTCGAGGGTGGGTGTGCTCCATGTGTGGCTGTGCATGAAGAAGCCAAGGAGAGTTCAACTGCACCAGATCACTCTGATGGTGAAATGGGTGCAGAGGCAGATCCCCACCTTCCAGCAGCGTACTTCGAAAGCCTCAGACGAAGCAACGCCATCCATCAAATTGAGTTAGCAAAGTTCCAGGCAAAGGTGGGTGCGAGGTTGGCAGACTCCCGGCTGGCCTTTGCCATCCATAATGTGGCCTACCAAGGCAAGTTCCACCCAGAGACCTTTCCCAGGCTGTGCCTGCCCAATGAGGCCACACCTCGCTTGCTGTGGTGGCCTGGGTCCACTGGTATTGCCAGCGATCTGAGCACGGAGAGTGCAGCAGGAGTGATTGCAGGGGACACGGGGTCCGTGCCGTGGCAGCTGAACTGGCTGAAGGCTGGTCTGACATGCAGTGACGTTGTAGTGACAGTGAGCCCTGGCTATGCGACTGAGCTGATGCGGGACAAGGCGAAGGGGTGTGGGATGGGGGATGTGTTGAGGCAGTTGGGGATCAAAGGGATCATGAATGGCATCGATGTGGAGGTGTGGAACCCGAGGCAGGACCAGTTTCTGGGAGAAAGTTTGCAGTTTGGACTGGAGGATGTGGAGGAGGGGAAGCGTAGAGTGAAGGCTGCTCTCCAGGTTGGTTTCTGGAACCATTTTTAGCTGTGGGGTAAATCTTCATTGACTGCAACTGCCATGCACATGGCAAAGCACTGGCAAATCTATTGTTGGGCATCGGGCTGGCTCTTGAATTTTACACACCGATGAAAATCCATGGAAGTCGGTGCTGCATGCCTGTCTTGCAGCACCTGCAGAGATCCTTATTGTGGTTTCCTTGTAGAATGAATACCCCAAGAACTTGGGGAGGGGCGGCATCTTGTGACATTCTTCTTATCTCACTGATGAGTCTACCATGGAATCCAGAAGATGTGCAGTGGGCATTAACAGGTGGCTGAAGGGCCCAGGCATAGCTGTTGGCAGTGGAGTGGAATTTCTTGCTGCCTGCTTCCTGTGGCTCTGTGTTTTTGGATCTGTTTGCTTTCTTTTGTCTTGAAATACTTTGTTTCACTCTTGGGACCCTTGATGCCAGGGTGCCATTCTTCATGAGACAAATCATTGCCTTCTGGTCATGAAGGTGTGCTTTGAAAGTTCGCAGACATGATTGATCGTGTTCCTTTCTTTCAGGAACGCATTGGCCTGGACATCAATCCTGACATTCCCTTGTTCGGCTTCGTGGGCCGCATGGACCACCAGAAGGGAGCAGACGTCATATTGGCGGCTGCTTCAGCCTTGTTCTGCCACCCCACACAGGCTCAAGCCATGCCAAGCTCATCCCCCGCCAAAACCTCTGAGCGGCAGCTAGTTGTGCTTGGTCGAGGGGAAGCAATGCTGGAAACCGGGATCCAGGGTCTGCAGGTGCGAATGCTCATCCCATTGGTCATTGTTTCCATCAGTTGTAGTGGTTTCGATGACTTACATGCAGCAGAATGAACAGCAGTTCTGCTGCAACTGAAACTCTGCTGCACAGCAGCGCTATTTACAGAGCATTGCAACTTGCGATCGCCATCAGTCCATTGATTGCAATTCTGAAAGTTGACTAGCTACCTTCAGGAAGTTGGACAAACACTGTCCAATGAATTGATGTTGCGGAATGCTGTGTGGCGTTCTTTTTGGCGGCCTTGCTCTGGCCCCATTGATGTTAGTGGCAGAAAGAACATCAAGCAGATGTGCTGCCCCCCCACAATGCTTGAGGGGAGTGACCATGACACATATACCTGAATGTCATTTGTTCTGGACAAGGTTTCATTTCCAGGCAAGGCAGCTGGGGTTGCAGAATTTGATGAGGAGCTGGCCCACCTCATAATCGCCGGCAGCGACTTCCTCCTCATCCCATCCAGGTTCGAATGTACCCATATCTTGCATGCTTTATTGAATGATATTTGACGGTGGATTTCACTAGTTGCGATTACATGCCAGGAGAGGTAAACCTGTATTGTTTCCCACATACTATGCCACGGGCAAGAGTCCAGGTGGCACCAATGTCTTGAAAGAGATGTGGGACTTATAGACAAGAATCTGCAGGGCACGAGAAGCCGAAAATGTTGACCACACAAAATGCCATGCTAAGTTTCAGAGGAAAAGGAGGAGTTGGCATTTTTCCTTCTTTGCTTGGAGCTGGGGGATTGCAAGATCAGACATCGTGACAGTGCTTTCTTTCTGATGAGGATGTGTTCATTTATGTAGGTTTGAGCCTTGCGGTCTGGTGGCACTGTGCACTGTGCGGTATGGCACCATCCCCATTGCTTCCCCTGTAGGGGGCCTCAAGGACCTCCTGGGAGACGGGCGGTTGGGGTACCTGCTGCCTGAAGCTCCATGGGACGTTGCCCTGCGACAGGCAGTGACTGGCCTTGTGAACACTATGGAGAAGGCCATGTTGGACTGGCACACCCAGAAGTTCTACGCGATGAGGAAGGCATGCATGCAGGTGCGGGGCTGGGCATTGGACAGCTGGGAGACAGCAGTGAGGAGTTTCGCTGGTCTTGATCTGCAGATTCATTCCTGTGCAGCTGCCGTAATAACTTCATTTTGCACTGAGCACTGGTGAACAGGAAATTTTTGGGAGCAAATGTTTGCGGAGGGGGATTGCACCCCAGGTTTTGTCTTAAAGGTGCAACGGTCTGTAGTTTTGTCCATGACCGTTGCCGTGTGGTTGTGATTGTAATCTGTCCATTGTGATTCTTTGCACCAGCAGGAGGGTTACAGGCAGTTCGCTCTGTAACGATGGCTGGTCCCAATGGCTGGCATTGTTGCCTTCGATGATTGTAAGTTGTCTTCGCATTGCAGCCCCACTCCTTAGTGCCACAGAGTGCTGATCGTTCTAAAACATGCTCCTGGCACTTTCATATCCTCACTCACTCTTTTCGTGCATTGCCATATTGGTCCACTTTAATTGCATTGGTGATCCAATGACAATGTACTTTAAAGGGGAATGGAGAAACACATTGGATAAGCACATCATGTCCAACATTGCATGTCCATCGTTTCCTTCAGTTCACAGGAGCACTGTTTGCCTAATGATGCTGCTTGATTACATGATGTTTTAACTATTTTGTATGTTTCGTATTTTGTGCATGATGTTTTCAATACATGGTATTTTGTGGATGACAGAAGCACTGACCTTGCATCCGAAACTTGATGACTGGATTAGGTCCATCCACAGTGCAATGCTCAAGGAAACGTTCCCTGGTGACGGCAAATATATGCGAAGGACCTTTGGCCTGGCACTTTTGAGGCGCTGGCTGCTGCAGGTGCCTGTCTTCGTTCTGTTTAGAATTCGCTGGTAGCTGCCACAATGTGTGCTAGATTTCTGGTATGCATACGATATTTGTCTGGATGGTTGTTGCCTCCAGCCTGAACTAGTGGACTTGGAGGTTCATCCATCTTCTGAACTGCGAGGATTGCGGCATCTGATTCGCTCAAAATACTTCTAACTTACCTATACTGCCCGTGGACACCTGGATTGTGCATAGACAAGACTCGTGGTTGGTTGAAAAGTTGAATCAAGACAATGGCAACAGCACTGCAGCCTTGTACCTTGCCGATTGGTGCAATGAAGGTGGTGAATTCGAGGCTCCTCTTGCATCTCGTTCCAGCAGCAGATACTATGGCCCCTCGTACACTGTGGACGCCATGGCTACAAAAAGACTGCGGAATCTTGTTGTGGAATGTCATTGTGTGTTGATTTTTCCGCTGGATGAAGTACTCGCTGTGCATCTGTTCAGGAGGATGTCTCGTGGAGTGGCCCAGTGCTGGCATGGGAAAAGATGCTGTTAAACGTTTCTCGCATCAGCGGATCAAAATAGTTCAGAGTGTACACCCCACAACTGTCAATTCCAAGGATTATGGGTATAGGCTCGTCATCGCCCACTGGCTTTCCAGCACGGCGCCTGCGGCAGCAACGGAGGCACCCAGACGAGAACCCCAATCGAAGTGTTTTTTACTTCACATTCTTTGGCTGGATCCAGCTACGGTGATGCAACATCGCTGCATGGCTCACTGCGATCAACAAGTTGCATCACGCCAGTGGCGAATGACTTTTTTCCTGACATTTGGGCAGACGGGGAAGTGGGAGCGATGTGGGATACTGGGACAAAGCAGGTTCTTTGGAGGGTGGCTGCGAGGGTCAGCGGCGCTGTTGTGGGCATGGGCAGGGTTCTGGCTTGGGGGCAACTGCGTTTGGGAGGGGAATTGTGGGAATGTTTGAGCTTTCTGAGTCGACAGGCGGGGCAGCGGCGAGCGGGGGGAAGGTTGTCAGGAGCGAGGCGGGAGGCAGGGGTCGGGAACAAGCTGGGAGGCAAGGGCTGGGATGTGTGCACAGGTGCATAAATTGTTGTTATTATCCCATTGTGAGATGTTGCGCAATCGTGCGAAAAGAGCGACGGGTAACTGAAGGGAGCTGTTTCCCAAAATCTGCCTGACTCCGGCGAGCTTCTGTTGAAGTGGTGGTCAAGGGCTTGGGATATCAGGGAGCGAACGTTGCAGGTATCATCACGACGATCTTGCGAGCATCAATCCCAGGCGCCTTAGGACCATGTGCTCGCGAATGTGCAAGTTTTACTGCGCAACGCCACAGCCAGATCGCATTTCAGCCAGAAAGTCCCCACGACATTAAATTGGCGCTGACACCAAGATTTCATAATTCTGGAGTTATGATACCTGTTCAACCGTTCATGAGTAGATGTGCCTATCGGCAGAAGAGACACGTGCTGTCGCAATGAGACACATGGTTTTCACTGGAGATACCCTCGCTTTTGAGAGGAGATACGTAAATTCATTGAAGAGACACACTATCGCCGTAAGAGTTGCATGTCCTTGGTGTGCATATCTAGGATATGGCTGCCATATCCTGGGATGCAGTTGTATCCTCCCCATATCCAGGACAAGGGGGCCCATATCGTGGGCAATATCCAGGACATGGGACTTTTTGAGGACGATGGTCTTCTTGCTTACATCTCGGCCTTCATGCGGAAATGATGGATGTCAGACAAACCTCCCATTCTGGGCAAGCACCAGTTTCGCAGTCACTTGCAGGCCTTGGCTTCACCCTGGTGGTAAATCAGAAGACAGGAAAAGGAGGTCCCTGGTCACAGGCTGTCCAGGTGGGACCTGGCTGATATCCACAAGCCAAAAAGAATTTATACTACCTCTGTCTCAAAAATCGTGCCCGATTCCAAATTTGCACAAATGGAGGTCAAATCGTGTCAGAAAAACTGACAGAAACAAAATTGAGCCGGCATGCCGAGAGCTATTTGTTGAGCCCTCAAACGCGTCAACTGGTGCTGCCTTTCTTGTGAAATGTCAAGAGGAGCTGAAACGCGACTTTGCATCTTTGAGGGGCATTGGGTGGGGTACAATGTATTTGCCCTGCCGCTTAAAAGACTTTAATCTGACCTGCAACTGGGAGAGATTCATGCTTTGACGGTTTAGTGTGCACTGAAATTCGGTTTCACCTTAATCGGAACTTGCAAGGAAAAAGATTGGAGTTCGCAGCAAATTTGGGCCGCTAACAGCAACCGCGTGCAAGTGGTGGCCAAAGGCCATGAGACACCTTGATCAGTGCAAGAGCATCAATCAGGCAAATTTGCCAAGTTTGGAAGGTTTAAAGCCTATACAGACTTATGCCACCAAATAAAATGCCCTAGATTGGAGTATACATGGCCAAATGTTGAAAACAAGAATGTTGGCAGCACGATTCAGCATATTGCAAGAGACGATCTCACAAAGATATGGCAGTAATTCTTTCAACATGTCAACAAGTTGTGGTAGTGCCTATTCGTCTTCTAATGAGTTTTAGCGAATTGGGTTGAAAAATAGCGGAATGTGGCCAATGCAACAATGCAGGGAATTGAGGGCTAGCACGGAGTTGAACAGGGGCACTTCAGCAAGGTTGTAAATGTCAATTTCGAGAAGGTTGTATAGGATGTATGGTGGCAAATGGATTGATTGAGATGACATTGCCAAATTTTAGAAAAAATTCGAGATCGAACACGACTTTTGAGACGGAGGTGTACAATGGGTCCCGATATTGAAGAGCACGAAAGCATGGCCACGGCTGTGATGTGCAGTCGCAAGATTCCCAACGGAGCTCAGCACTCCTGCTAACTTACTACAGGCAGATACTGGTACCTAACCAAGTACATATGCACATGGTGAGAAATATGACATGTTGGGCGTTCCAGCTTGCAACGCACACGTCCCGTACTGTCTGCACGGGCTGTTTAGATCATGGCTCGTCATTGCAATCATTGCCCTTTCTCCAATAGGGTATGCAACCGCGGTAGCGGATGTTCTCTGGCTACATACATTCGTGACAGAACTAGTACAATCGTGAAGCCCCAGATTTGGGAATGACGATCTGTTGAACATTTAATGCAGAAGAGCATTCAGGCGACGGATGTGAGGTTGCTGACTAAATGGATGTGGGTGAAGACATTGCCGTTGCTGCTACATATTCCACACCAAATTGATGCCAGGGCATCAAGGCGAACAAGCGATTCGATGTGCCAGATATGTGCGTTTCTTCAAGCATTGAAGAAATTGTGATAACACAAATTCTGAGGTGTTGTGTGGAAATCAAAATGCTTGTCAGGAAACACTGTAATTGCAATTAAAGGCCTTATTCGATTCACTGCAAACAATATGCACATTGAGGTGAATATGGCAGAGACTACTTCCACTAGGTTTACAAAAGCACCCTCAACTCTGAACGACCCCGTCTGCTGCAAAGGAATTGGATGATGGCAAACCCTGGGCAACAAGAAAAATTTCCCATCAAAAATTGAGCGCAAGGAATATGATAACAAAGCGAAGGTACCACCAGTGGCGTCTTTGGGTGCCAAAGCCAGCCAATGGCCATTGGCGCCAATGCGCCAGTGCTTCTTTACTGATGTAGGCTGAACTATAGTCCCTTCTCATTAGTATAGGCAAACTATTTTTCTATGTGGGGTTAGAGCCATGACACCAACTTAAGGCCATATTTTCCATGGAATGAGTGGGCCTGAAGTATATGCCCACAAAGTATCATTCTATTCATGCAAGTGCACTATAGTGGGTGGTAGTGCAGAGCACTCAATGCCTTTGTAGAGTATCACTAGGAAAAAAAGGGCCAAATAACACTTTTGCGAGCACACATAAAACACATTTCATCAAAGCTCTACACGCTAAGAACACAAAAATAACACAAACCCGTAAACTTTGTACACGTTTGAACACGTGTTATTTTGCCCTTTTTTTCCTAGTGGTATTCAATACCTTTATATTTGGAGTGGCGTTCTTTGATATTGACCACGGTGGTCAATATCATGGAGGTGACCTCCATGGTGGTTGCCATACCGCCCTTTTGGCATGTACATATAAAACTAGAGGCCTAATCTCTGGGGACGTCTCCTGACTTTCCTGCGGATGGAAGATGGGGACATCGCCACGTAGAGGGCGGTTTCCATCCCAAGAGTCCCCATCACCGCGCGTCATTAGGCGTCCCCAAATTCCATCCCTGCCCAGCAGAGGGCTCACGTCCCCGATATCCCTAGGAGACCATGTGCTTGG